TTGAGATAGTTCACAGTGAATATGAAGTATTTCCTGATGTTAATGGGCTGTGGCAACACCCGAAGACTTGGAGCATCAGGACCTTGGTCACTTTGGACTCCACTACCTACTGAATCTTTTAACATAGTCTTCAAAAGAATTGAAAAAGGAGTCATCACACTTCAGTACAGTGGGACCAGAAGGTCTGGCATGAGGAACGGTATTTAACAGATAAGTATATAGCTGGGTTTTAAAACTTGTTACAAATCGTCATGTATGTTAACAAAAACTTCAGCAGCTTATTACACTGTAGCCTGCTGCTGCTAATTTCTAAGCTATTTATCTCAGGTTTCAATATTTTTTGGAAGCCCATACATATGCTTCCATAAAAACAAATGTCCATAAGAAATGCTGCACCAAAACATTGAATTTTAATAGAGGGAGGAAGGCTGACAGCAAAAATATAATCAGTTCCATCGACAGCACTGCAGATTGGCATATTGTGACTGACAGCCTTCTGGCTGGTGTGTGGATGCGAGCTCCCCCAGATAACACTACCACGCTCCAGCACCAGTCGCGGGAAGAGACAGCACTTAATTGCACGAAGGCAAAATGAGACATGCTGCAGACCAAGCTGTGCAGATGCTCAGCTTCTTAGCAGCGTCTTCGTTTTTCTCGAGAGCCCCTGTCTGGGGTTCGCAGCTGCTGACCCAGTCACTCTGCTTCACGCCACCGCTCTCCTGTCTCCAGGCAGCAGAGCAGAAGGGCCGTGAGGAGCCCGACAGGGTACAGAAGTCCAGGACCGACGCTGGGGACTGCCAGGGACGCAGGGCCAGGCCTCAGGACACATCCTAGCACCCAAGGGTGCAGGGCACTGGGGGCAGCCCCAGCCCCAGGGGGTGCTACAAGGCCAGGCTGGGCTGAAGTCGGGTCTGGTGGACCTGCTGGGTCCTACTGGTGCCCTCAGAGGCCATTAACAGCCCTCTTCACCCTTCGTGGTTTCAAGCTTGCATGACAAATACTGTGTTAGTCATTTATGCCCAGGCTAGCCTACTGAAACACACCAAAATATAAATAAACATGCTCTAAGCTGTAATTTGCCTATTATGAATGAAACAACACAATGTTGGATTTGCCTCTCAAACAATATTGTAAAAGAAAAGAAAACCAGAATTCACAAAACCTCCTGAAAAGCTTCTCTGTGCTTTTTTCCTTCTTGCAGGGGGAGCACTCAGCTCTGCGTAATGAAACACACTGCAGAGAGTCCTGCCTGACACAGGCTGACCTGCGCTGCTGAATCCATTTGGTGCAGCAGAGAGCTGCAATTTTGTCTGGCTGGCAGGAGCAGGAAGAGAGCGGGAGTGCTGCATGGCTCTTCTGCAGACCCACGCTGGGTAACACGCCAGGGGACACAGCTCTGGGATCAGTGGGGCAGTCCATGTGAACGGTGGGCTCTGGCCTCCTCGCAGCTCTGGGACAGCAGCTTGGACAGCCAGCTGTGCACGTCTTGTAGACAAGCCCTGGGAGATGGGTATCAGATCCAGGCTTCACGGACTATTACCACACTGCCTTTACAAGGCTGGTTAAGATACAGACAACAAATCCGAATAGGTCTCTAATGTAATAGGGAAAGCCGAGAGACTCAAGGCACTTAGACACAAAGTCGCCGGTTAGAGACATAACTAACAGAGGGTGATATCCTACAAGCACTTTGCTACTCAATTAGAAACAAACTCAGTGCTCACAGGGCCCTTTGCAAATGTTCAGTTGCGACCTGACTTCATCTGGGCAGATCCAGACAGACAGCAGAGAAACGCAACGGTAGCCAGTGAACGGAGCCTGCTGCAGCTGCTTTGTTCATTACACAAAGCAGTATTTGAGGACCAACAACTTCCTAATAGGTAATAATCCTAAAGGAAAGGCCCAGTAAATCCAGTTCCCTCATCACACTTGAGTTGTTCAAGTGACAGTTCTGAGTTTATTTTTCATAAGGACACATGTTTCCAGGTGTTGCACCATGCGGAAATCATTTCGGCGTGCACGGTGTTAGGAAAGGAGGGTGTGAGAGAAGCTCCACAGAGGCTGCAATCTGCAGTGCTCCTCTGCAGGAGATACCATTCTACCCTCTCACTCCTCTTCCTGATCTTTTAGCCACTGTTATCTAACCTCAGCATTGCCAGGCGTGAAGAACTGAATCCAGACCTCTCTTTCACGAGTGACATAACCCATAGGCTTCAGAGTCACCCTTTCCATCATAAATCCTCTCTGCAGATTGGCATGCACTATCTTTTCCACCTTCACACAGTCTGGAGGTCACAGCACATTGCAGGAGCTCACAAAATATCACACTGTACCCAAGTTCAAGTTGACACTGTAGCTTAGTAGTGGCATAGGAGCAGCTGCCCTGTCTCGTGCTGGCTCCAGGCCATTTGCTGGCTTATTAGAGCAAAACAACTTGGCAGAAAACCATGTCCTTCTTTGTCAAGCTACTTTTATGAAACGGAGCGGCAGATTCTCAGCAACCACATTAGGTGGTGGTGGTGAGACACAGCCAGGAGCAGATGGGGGCAGGACCAGGGCCCTTGGCTTTTTGTGGTGCTACAGCTTGAGAAAGCTACAGAAGCTGCCTCTCCTGTGTGCGTGCTTTCTAGACCACTGCTTCAGTGGAGGTGGTAACGTGATCTCTGGGCCTTAGGGGAGAACACTCTGTGTTCTCATCTGTGCCTAGATGAGTTTTCTGTGAAGCCAGTGGTCAATCTGGTTGACTCCTTTGAGTCATAGTTGACCTTGCATTGAGCAGGAGGTTGGATTAGAGACCCCCTGCCTGAATTATCTTGCACCTCCATGATCTGTACAGATCAATAAGAGCAATATTGTGAAAAAAATGCAAAACATCTGCACAAAATAAAACACGAACACCTCCAAACTCCTTTCCAAATATTTCAGGGCAAAGATCTTTTCTTGCCATATTTTAGCATATCCGGTTTTGAATGAAGACTTAAGAGGAATAGAAAACGAATGCTGAATGAAAGATAGACTTAACATTAATTAGGAAGGTAATTAATGCATTTATAACTTTTACTTGAAAGTTGGGAATCTGCTATTGTGTTCTTTTGGTGTGGAAAATGGAGAGCACAGCAGATGGCTTTGAGGGACCATATTTCTGGGGACAGCATCAATGTGCTTTTTCCTTTGACATTTTGTGTATGACTTAAGACCACTGAAATGCAAGGGTGATTATATTTTTCTGTACATGAAGGGGCCAGGTTAATAGATATAAACAAAAAGAATTGCCAAAATATGAACACACAAAACTATCTGCACTCCTATCTCCTGTATTCTGCAGTGAAAAAAAAATAGAGGATAGAGGAAGAGCCTGGACACTCTGATGCAACATAATGTGAATGTTCCACTTATGTATCATGAATCAACAAGAGGGAGGTCAGCAGAACATGAAATGAATTTTTATGAGAATGTTGGACATCATAAACTGTTTTCTCTCTTGCTTGGATTATCACTAGGCTTCTTCTTCCTGAAAGCATGGCTTTGACTTCTAGGGAGAACAATTAAGAAGAAACAATGAGCTTCTCTTGTCCTGACATAAAATCTGCAATAAAATCTAGCCTCTGGAAGAAAAGCTTAGAATCCACCAGGGAGAAAACAGAAAATATATCCTCTTGCTAATTGTATGGCAATGGCAGAATACTGAGAAAGCTGTAAGGATATGAGGCATGAGATTATAGATCTAATAAAAACGTCTGTTAAATAGAAAGTAATTGAGATGTTTTAGAATACATTCAGCAACCATGAGCTGACACAACAGGGCAAAAAAATCTATCAGTCTACTTGAAAGAACAGAATCTTACAGTGCTCCCCTCAAGGACAATAGGGCTTATTACTTTCTTGTACTATACCTTGGAGGTGTTTCTAGTTTTTAATGTGCGGTAATGCTGGAGCAGGTTCTGTCAAATATGAATAATTGAAGTGAAATGTAGGGAGTGTCAAAATAATAATTGAAGACTTTGGAAAATACTCAGAAAAAATATGTGGGCCATGTTCACAGTTCCTCATCTTGTTTTATCACTAAACTTGCCCTACATCGATTGAAATCAGTAGAGTTGCATTGCAGCAAAATGTCACTAAAATAGTTGTGAATCAGCCTCAGTGTTTGCAGAAGTGATGTCCTAAGAGAAAGGAGCTGAAGATAACTTTTTAAGCACTGCTGTATGTCGTATGATTCCCTCAACGTCAGATGGAATTACTTAAGGCTTAAACCAATCAATACACTGAGATCAGATCCTGCTTCCCTTTATATCACAACATCCAGTGACATAGTGTCTCTGCATTTGTGCTTACTGCGCTAGACAACAGTGAACCCCAACACTGTCTCCGAGGGCTTAATACAGATTACTGAAGCCTAGTGACTTCCTAAATTGCCTGTTCTTTGAAGAGCTCCTCTATGGAATGAAGCCAGGTCCTGTCCCCTTCCAGTAGCCTTGTCTGAAGCTGGTAGCAGTCTCAAAAAATAATTTGAGAGGCGATAAAAAGAACAGGGTAAGGCAAGGCGTGAGATGAAGGGGTCTACAGGAGCAGAATGAAGTAGGATGAAGTAGTGTACAATAAGCACATGAAAACCCAGAAAAAAAGCCTTGAGTAGAAGGGGAATAGTATGAGTCAGTAATGATTTATAGAACACAGAGACAGAAAATGAGGGACAAACAATTAAACAGGCAGTAAAAGACACAGAGAGAAGGATATTAAAGAAGGAAAAGAAATGCGGATTGGG